GACCCAAAAGTTTAAAGTTGTAAAAATACATGACATAACCATTTCTTATTAAAGGCATAAAATATTACTCTCTTGAATTGTCAAAAACCACAGTTGTACTTATTATTCTGCGTGTTTTAGTACTACTCCTGAATTGACCATATCGGCTACATGCATGTTAAAATTAAATATGTACTGTTTTTAATTTTATTTTATTTAAAAAAAATTGTTAAGAATATGATCCTTTATCGTTTTAAGGTTTGCTGCATCAACTGCATGAATTATGAATCCAGAGAGTGTGGAAATTCTTTATGAGCCGATCAACGTGATCCGAGAAACACTTGTAGGGCCTTCCAACACCGTGGACAAACCGTCGCCCTCGTATAATTTTCCATTTGTCAGCACAAAACTTTTACTAAAACCACAACCAAAGCAAAACGTGGCCTTATCCATCTCCATATATATATATATATATATATATGTATATATATATGTATATATATGTAAATGAGTTTTATAATTGTCATGTTGAAGGAGAATTGAAATCTCATGTTGTAGAAATAAAAAACATGTAGGACTCATGTGTTAGAAAAAATTATATGTAGGATCATGTCAGCACGGAAATCGAAAGGTGTGTAGAAAAATTGCAATTCTCATTCATAAAACTCTATATATATATATATATATATATATATATATATATATATATATATATATATATATATATATATATATATATATATATATATATACCTCTTCAGCATCAACACTCCTCCTGATCCTACACCCAACCACATAATAAACTCGTAATTATATTTACGAGATCTCTAATAGGTCCGCGAAGTGCATAAAACAGTTATACCCTAAACATTGTTGGGGATTTTGATTATGTATCCTGCTAAGGATATGGAATGATTTCATTTATTACCAAGCATGTTCATCAACTCAAAGGAATTGTTCCATTTTAACCAATAGTTTTGAATTTGAATCCTAATTATACTATGTTAAAAAAATTTAATAGCAACATCTAAAATGCCTATACCAACTCAATTCATTATTTCGGGATAATAATTAGAACTAAAGGAAAAAAAAATTAGTATAAAGAGCTTTGTCACTCTCCTAGTTCTACCCAACTCAATCACATTATTTAGATAATTAATTAATTGGTAGAAAAATAAAAAATAATAGTTTTATTTATATTTATATTTAGGAAACTTGGAGGCTAAGTTGGAGAACGAGGAAGATTGCTTGAAAAGTAAGAAGCTTGGTTACATTTAGAAATTAGAACTAATGGTCTAGATGTGTTATGATGCAAAGAGAAAACAAGTGTTAACAAAGTCCTTCAAATTATGAGAGAGGTTTTCATAGAGATGTAAATGAGTAGGCTAAACTTTGGATTAAATAAGTTAGATTTGTGTAAAATATTTTAAGTTCATCCTGACCTATTAGCCTAGTGTAAACTAAATTATAGGCCTGACCTGCTATATTTTTTAAAAACAAAATATCTAATATAAGCCTGTTAATCTATTTAAGTTTATTAGATCTTCAAGAATCATAATAAATAATTAAATAATATCACCATATTATTTAAAATTATTTAAATAATTTTATTTAAAATAAATCATATATTGTAAGACGACCTATAAATTTATAGGTCAGACCTTATAAAATAAAAAGCCTATTTTTTATATAAGTTTTTTTAAAGGCCTTAATTTGCTCTATTTTATTGTATATATTGGCCAAACTAAGTTTAACGTAGGCCGAGTCATAGCCGCGCATGATTCATTTATACTAGGGCATGTTTAGTGCATTGTATAAGATAAAGCGTGATAGTATAAGACCTGATATTATAAGACCTTATTGTATAAGATCTGATTAAATTTTAATATTATTCAGCATTTGGTATAGTATTGTATAAGATAATATCCTTCAATATTTTAAAAATTAATATATTAAAAAAATTAATATATTAGTATTGAAATGATATATTAATTCTTGAGAATTGTACTTGTAAGTAATATTAATACATCAACCCCTTATCAGGCCTAATCCCATCCCCTTAGGCCTGATTAAGTTATACATCATTTTGATGTATTAAGGGGTTCTTCTGTATAAGCTTATACTATACGATGGTCACACCAAAGAACTGAAAATGTCATTATATATAGTATAAGCTTATACTCTCAAGTCTTATACATAACACGCCCTTGTGTATAAAGGTTTTTAACCCAATGATTATTTTTGTACTATTGTTTTTTTCTCATATCGGGCCATTTTGTATTTGTTGAGGTGGATATAGGCATCTGATTGTCTATGGATCCCAACGTGTCTGACTTGAAATGAACCTTTTAATGCTACAATTTTACATAATAAGTCAGGTAAAAAATCTATATATCCCTTTATAAATATTAAATAGGAGAATCCTATTAAAATTTGTGAATTTTTATGAAGAAGAAATATACACAAAATTTTCACACGAGCATGTCTCAATAGAAATTTAGCACGAGGAGAAATTATGATTAATTTTACAGTGCATTTCGTAGAGAATTTTTTTTTTTTTATATCTGAGAATCACAATTACAAATATATGCTGGGAAAATAAATTTTTCAATAATATGACAAAAAAATTGTTTGATAGACCAAAATATTACAAAAAATCTTAACTTGAGCTTCCCAATTATAGGTTGATTATCAAATATTAGGGGTGAGGTAAATTTATAAAAATAACCCAACTCCATTGATTTACCCAAGAACCCAACTATCATTGTCGACCACATTCCCTCACCATTTTCCTTCCCTACCGACGGTCCACTATTACGAGTTCCACATTGGTTATATAGGAAGTTAATGTAGGATTTAAAAGACCTTGGGCACTCTCACCTTTTGAGCTAGCTTTTGGGGTGATGATCTCAAGGTCTGTAACAATTGGTGCTTTCGTTGAGAGTTGAGCCCACGGAAAGGGCTACCTATAGGCTGGATTAAGGTGTCTTTGGGCACTGAATACTGATAGGTGAGTGAAGTCGCCCCAAAGGAAGAAAGGGCTACCGTCGCGTCAGTGTCGATAGAGGGAAAGCCGTTGTGGATGTCGGCCCTTAAAAGGGGTGGCAATGTTACGAGTCCCACATTGGTTGTATAGGAAATTAACGTGAGATTTACAACGATGAGCAAAATGAAGAGTAGTCAATGTCTTCATGAGAGTGGGAGAAGGGAAAGTGATAGAAGATTTCATTCATATCCAAACAAATCTAGCAAAGCTATTGCACATAATTTTTTTCCTTTTTTACCAGCAAGGGAAATTTTTTTCTCAAAATGATTTTTGCAACTTATATAATCCAGATCAAGAAAATCAAAATTAGGGTTTTTTTTCTTGTTTCTTCTTCCTTTTTTCATTGGATAACCATTTTTCTTGAAATTGAAAGAGGAACCACCCACAATGAAAGAAAGAAGAAGAACGACGAAGAAGACACAAGGTTAGTTATGTCTCAAAAAAATTACAAAACATTCCCACTAGGTGGGAATTGCAAAATACCACTCACTCATTGGTATTTTAAGTTGGTATTTTTCTTCATAAAAATGAATTATGGGAATTCGATTTTCTCTGAAGATTTTTTGCAATCCTAATACCAAACGTAAGTAAATGAGATTCCCAATATAAGTTTTGCGTGAATTTAAAAGAAAATCCTTCTACTAAACATTCTCTTAACACAGTGAAAAAATCATATGGTTGTCCAATGGATATAGACAAAGGCCCAACACACAAAACAGACTAAGCCCAATACCAATAGAGTTGTATTCCGAAGGGATTTGATATCAATCTACGCAATCTGAAATTAGCTCAAGTCAACGTTACAAAATATATTCCTCAATAATTAGCTCACTCTCCCATTTGGAATTCTTTCACCAAACACACAAGTTACCATAACCCCTTTGCTGTTTGGTTCATCGAACCATGAGCGCAACGCCGCATTTGCATACACTACAACTTCGCTTGAGTGCTAAGCCTCTTAGTCCTCCGCTTGTGCCGTTGTAGATATCCTTTTTTATCAAAGGCCCAACCGTGCGGCTTGGTTTTTTTTTTGTTTGTTTTTTTTCAAAAATCCATCATTTCCTTAATCAAACCCACCATTCTTTGGCTCCAAGAAATTCTCCGTGTGCATTCCTTCACGCCACCTTGTTTTGATTTGGAATGGGTTCGTGTACTGTTGAATAACAGCTTTGTTTTCCCTTTTGAAGTGAAATTAATTAGGCTTTGACAAATAATACTTCTACCAGTTGCCAAAAAAATAAAAGTAGCATTATACCTTGTTAAAAAATCTAAGGATTTAATAATCTATGGTTATGTCATCAATTCTTAAGAAATAAATAAGTCGTAGTTTAACTATCCATTCACCTCTTTACTTTTTGGCTGATTCTGTGTATTTCAGCAAATGATGTCATGGGTTTCGTACAAGCACTATTATTATATGCTGCATAGAGCAGGGTAAATGTGCCAAGCAACAAAATTTGGTTTAACTTGCATCTCCTGTAAATATTATTTGAGCAATGGGCTATGGTTTGACTAAGAAAACATTAAATTAGTTGTGCCAAACTTATAATGGCTCCTAACTCCAACAAAGTCAACTCTTGCCAGCTTTAAAATACTTCTGCCTCTCTGTTTTCGTAAGGCTTTATCGATGAATTTGAGGAATGTTTCCAATTCAATGCATAAAATATACAGAATCTGCATGGGATAAAGTCCCAATTGATTGAACAAGCACACAAGTCAAGAGGGAAGCAATAAAATAATATAGCCCAATTTTTCAAAACGTGTCTTGGTATAGAAAATCCTGAAATCCTCCATAAATTTAGCTAGTCAGTATATTAATGCACAAGTTTCCAACTGGGTTTCCATTCATTTATCAGATTAAAGCAAAGCTGAGCTGTCAAACACCCTTCACGCTGCATATCTAGCTTTATATATATATGTATATTCATTCATAATATTATTCCCTTCTCCTCTCTTCATTTATGTGATTGACAACATGGTTATTCAAAGTAATCATGATGTAACTTCTGAGGGGATTCTTGAGAATGTATGGGCTAAGGTTATAGCAGATGGAAGAACAGGCGATGCAGCAGAATCTTCTAACTCCTGGGAAGAACTGCCTAATCTTGATGGAAGAGATGGGTCTATGGAAATGCTGCAAAGACTTCCAAGTTTAGGGAGATGGATATCAATGGGAGCTGATTTCTGGGAACAAGTTTTGGATGGTGTTCTACCTGCTGAAAGCAAAATAGAAGAATCTAGCAACAAAAATTTGGAAATTGAAAGTGCTAATAAACCCAATAAAAAAGTAGAAGATGCTGTGAGAAAAGAGAAGGCATTTGCAAAACACTATAGGGGAGTAAGGAGAAGGCCATGGGGTAAATATGCTGCAGAGATTAGAGACTCATCCAAGAAAGGTGCTAGAGTTTGGCTTGGGACATTTGATACAGCTGAAGAAGCAGCTTTAGCTTATGACAAAGCTGCTTTGAGAATTAGAGGTCCAAAGGCACACCTCAATTTCCCACTTGAGACAGTCACAAATGCTGTAGGATGTGGAAATAAAGGAACTCATCTTACTATCTCGGCTTCTTCTAGAACTTGTGAAGAGTATTGCTCTGCTTGCACATGCACTGTGGACAAAGAAAATGTTTTCAAATCCAGGAAGAGAGGATCACGGGATGGGGAAGAATTTGCTGCTGATATGATGAATAAACAACATGCAACAAAAAAGATGGCAAGCTTGGAACACATGCTAGAAAATGAACTAGATGTTTTTGTATTTCAGGACCTAGGAAGTGATTATTTGGACAGTTTGCTGTCTTCTTTTTGACAGAATACTCATTGCGATAGTAATAGGTCATTTTTTTTTTCTCCTTAAATAATGCACAAACTACTAGTGTAATTGCATATGATTACAAATGTTCTCAATTATTATTATTAAGTCTCCATGGAATGCACCTGGTAATTTAATCTTGACATATCCTTTTTTTGTTTCACTAGTTAAGCTATTATTTTATAAAAGTATATGGTATAAAAGTTGAGAAGAATGTTCGTTCTATATAATTAATTAATTTCTTGTTTGATTGCGGAGATATTTGATCTTTCAATTCTTGAGGATGAGACTGTTATCGTGGATGATTATTGTCATATGGCTAATTGTTGATTCATCCATATTGTGATATGCAATGATGTCAAAATTGAGTTTCTACGTAGAAATGAAAAGGAATGATAGAAACGTAAATTATAAAAATGACACGAAACGTAAAATTTCTATTACTAAAGGTCAAGATATGTCTACCCAAAAAAAAAAGGACAAGGTACAAAATTATATATATATATATATATATATATATATAATTTGAAATTTGACACCTCATCTGATAGCCATTAAATCAAAAAAGTTCAACGGTGTCACATGCTTACAAATTATAGTCGTTGATCTTTTTTGATCTAGCGGCTATCAGATGAGGTGTCAAATTTCAAATTTGACACTAGTGTCAAAGAATCCTACCTCTCTCTCTCTCTCTCTCTCTATATATATATATATATATATATATATATATATATCACATAAGTCATTACTCAAAATTCAATGAATAACTTCATATTTAAAAGATATAAGTCACATAATTATAAAAGACATAAGTTCAAAAACTCAAAGAGTTTAAGAACTCCTATAACCAAGTTCTACAACATCAAAAGATAAAATTTAACAATTCTTAAATGGAAATACATCGGCCTCGCGTGAGGGTTTTTTTTTGGGAGGGGGGGGGGAGGAATGGAAGTAGGGTTTTTTATTTTATTTTATTAAAAAAAATCAGGTTATGGGTTAAAAGTTGACCCGATTCGGTTTTTAGATTTAAGTACAAGCATAAAAATTTGTGTTTCTATCATTTTTACACGTAAATTTTACTGAGGAGAGTTTTTACTTACGTTTTAACACGTATCACTTTAATAAAAACGTAAAAACATTACTTTTTACTTTTTTTACATTAATTTTTGACAATATTGATTTAATCAATCTGACTGTTTCAGCTATGAAGCACCGACACTTCAAAAATCCTGACGTGTCGTGTCCGATACTTCCCGACACTCTCGGACACTCCGACTATAACAACCCTCATTAGTAAGTTAAGGGAAAGGAATTAATTAGGTGGTTAACTAGATTAAATACTTATTCAATGAAATTGTGAGAGTTAAATTAATAGATTCAGGTGATAAATAATAAGAGAATACAAGTCTAATAGGATTCAAATATAATTATTATATATAACTAAGAACATAAATATTTATATGGAGTAAGTTTGTGTTTACCTTGGTAATTAGGCCTAAATATAAATTAGGTTGAATAATTAATTAGTTTAGAGAAATTAGTAAGTTCAAAGTATCTTTAAATTATTTAAATGATGCTTGGATTAATTATTAAAATTAAGGAAAAGATGGATTAATTATTAAGCAATAAGATGAGTTTTGATTAGTAAAAAGTCAAACAATATTCTTAGTCTTAATTATTTAAGTTGCAATGTTGTGTCTTCTTTAAATTGTCATGTACGTAACTTTAGTAAAAAAGATGAGGAAATTTGATAGAATTGAACCAATAAATATTTAAGATGATACTTGATTAGTCAAATGAAGAATTAAAGAACCAATATTATTTAATGTTGACAAATCTATATTTGGTGGAATTGAGTACTTTATCACCAAGTTTCATTAAAAGTCATTCACCAAATTGTTGTACGCTGCTTCGTGAAGTTTTTATGCTTTCTTTTCTTTCTTGTCACTTATGTGGGCCGTAGAGTTTAGGAAGAAAGCAACAAGCAAATAGTTTGGTTGTTTAAACCAATGAGAAAGTGACATGTTAGTCAAAAAAATAAATAAATAAACTAATACTACTTGACTTCAATTAGGCGGTCCCTTTTCCTTCGTTCTTTTTTTTCACGCTGCGCTCCCCCTTCTTTCTTCTTCCTTAGTTCGTGACCTTCAATGGAGAAAGGGCAAGAGAGAACTTGATGAGTTAGTCACCACTTCATCTAGACTGCAACATAGAAAAGGTAGCTTAGCACCCTATCATCCTAACCCACAATTTTTCTAACTTTGGGAAGCTTTAAATCTCTTCTTTTCTCCTCTATACAGCAGCGCCTGCACTTGGAAAAGGGGGAGGAAATGGATTGATTTCATAGTTCTAAGCTTAGGTAAGTCATCACTAGTTCTTGGTTAGGTTATCTAAGGTATTAAACCTTCACTTCCTTGATTAAATTCTTAGAAATGATGATGATATTACATGATATAGGGCTGTTTATGATGTGTTTTACATTAATTATTTGATGAGTTTTATGTATGGTTGTTGGTTGTTTAAAGATTTGATGTCAAACTAAACATAGGAAAGCTTTAAATTAACAAAGGAAATTGTTGTGAGTACAGGGAACCAATTGGCCATGGCATGAAAATTTATGTAAACCAAGTGTTTGTTAAAATGTCTAGGTGAAGCTATGATTTTAATTGATCAAATAAGGATTGGTTTAATAAATATTGAGTGAAAGTTAAAAGATACCCTTGGAATTCTAGTGTAAGCAACACAACCACACACTTTATGATTAGTGAGGATTGTTATATTAATTATGAAAGTTGATATAAAGGATGATAGGAACATATATGGTTGATGAACAAAGTAAGTTATAATGTGTTTAAGTGGTGCCAACCATGTGTTTGTTAGATTGTCTAAAAGAAATATTGATTTCAAGTGGTTGTTTGATGGTTGCTTTAATTAAATTAAGTGGAAATTATGAAGGAAAGTTTATAGAATTATATATGGGCCAATTCGGCCAAGTGAGGTAAGATACACAAGACATGTTTTGATTTTGTTCTTATGTGAGTGGGTGACAAAAATATATATTAGAAGGTTACTTAGCATGAAACAAGTTGGTATTAATGTGGTGAAGTTGATAGAATTCTCAATATGTCTTATAGTTACTATTCGGGTATGGTAGTTTAAATAGGTACATGATGTGTTTGATTAATTTTGCATATGAATTCATGTTCAATGATTTGGTTAAAGATTGATGAGAATAAAGAATAAAGAGTAGAGGTGGTGAGAAGATCCTTAAAAATCCATAAGTACCAATCGGCTATTTCATGAAAGTGGATGGAATTATTTTGTCATTAAGCTAAATGGTGTTGGAGATTCCTTGAATATGATGTAATTGATTGAAAGCTTGAAAGAAAATTATGGAATCATTAAATAGGCCAATCAGCCATATAGTGCAAAGAATGATTATTGATCATATATGTATACTTAAAGAATGCTTGTTTTATAATATAAAAGTTGATGAATTGTGGTGGAACTTACATGGACACATTTCGGTTATACATGTATTTAGGCTAAGGAATGGTGTTAATTAATATTATGAGTGTGTGATGTTCCTCGCAATTGTTAGTAACATGAAGTATGAATTAACTAAGATAAAATGGTAAGTCCATGGGTATGTAACTATTCGACCAATATGTATTACATGGCTAAAGAAATTGATGTTAGTTTTATGTCAAGTTAATGGAATTATAGTCTACGAATGCTTTCACAAGAGTTAAGCTAAGTAAACATGATGAAATTATATATGTATGAGTTCGGTTAGTATGAGAAGTGAATTAGAATGAGATTAGATGAATTGTAATAAATAAGGAATATGGATAGGATCTTATAAATCACTAAGTTAATGATCGAATGTAACCTACAGAATGTTGTTTACGTGTATTACAAGTAACGTAATTAACTGTCATTAACGATACATTATAATGGTACCAGTGAAAACCAAGGGGTGTGAATCCAAGGGATTCGAATCAAGTGAGGCGGACTATGCGTGGATAGCTAATTGCACAAACTTCTTGGATAACAAGTTGTAGAGACGGAAAGCGTTCAGGTAAGCTTTCGGTTTAGGAGTCTTCTCTGTCTTTAATTGTTCCGCCATGATCAGTGGCGATTATGGTTTCCGTATGGATATAATTGATGTTAATGTTGATACTTTGCGTAGTTGCATTCATATAGTGCATGCATATGACATTATTTATGTTATGACAAGTTAATATGATATGATCTTCAATGAGATAAAGCCTTGGAAGCATAAGTTATGGTTTTCTGAACAGAGGAAACATTTATGGATATGATCACGGTGTATATAAGGTATAGCCGAGGAAACTTTAGTTCTCTGATCATTATGAGTATGCTATTGAATATGATACGATATTACGAATATAAGATGAAAGCCTTATTTATACATAAGACATGAAAGTAATTAAGATTAATAAGAAAGCACGTTATAAGAATAAATGAGAATTATCAGAAAATATATATGATACGGAAATTCTAATATGGATTATATGGTGTTATCTATGTCTTGGTACTTGACATTTTCTGGCAAGAAGTGGACTCTTGGGTGGAGACTGCTCCATAAACCCCAAGTTTATTGAGATTCATTCTCACCCCGCGTTATGGGGACATATTTCAGGTATCGCAACAGTTGACGATGGTTCTCGGGGCAAGAGGCCCGTGGTTGAGGAGTAGATCTGAGCATGGATGTTGCCTACTTATTTTGGGAGTCTGTTGTATTTATATTTACACTATGATGTATTATGTTTATGTAGGTTGATGTAGGATGTTGTAGTTATGACACATAGCCACCTTTTAATGTGATATATATGGAGTTATGGATCATGCATGTATATTACTGTATATGATATGGAATTGTTGTATATTGTGGGTTGTAAGAGCCCCAAGGCATTGTTGGTCCTTGTGTGTGCCACCCACTGATTATTAGGTACCATTTGAGGTCATAGACCACTTGTACAAATTTGGGAAATGTTGGAAAAACAAAGGAAACTCTGGCGAATTTTCTGTAGAATTGACAGATTTTAGACGAACTTCGGGAGAGCATATCTCCCTCCACAGAGGTCCGATAGGGACATTCCATACGCCATTTTGAAGCTTGGTATGTCCCCTACATTGTGGTAAAATATGAGGTTGTTCTGAGCTAGGCGCTGGACTTGGGAGGGCTGTGAACACAGCTGCCCTATTTGCCCTGCACTTGGGGGCTGTTCTGGCCGGTTTTTGAGGAATTGTTTCCCGCTTCGTTTCTCAGTAAAATTAAGCGTATGATATATCAAATTGAAGGTTGAGGTGTCTAGTTTGTAGAATAAAAATTTGATAATAATTGGATGGGCGGATTTTCTGCAGAAATTCGTGGAGTGAGAGAGGTTTTGAGCTGTTTTGGGGTTGGTTGGCTGTTTTGCTTATCCAACTTCAAACGGCGATAACTGGAGCAAACGAGCTCCGATTAAAGCGTGTAATAGCTTTTTAGAAAGGTAATTAAGTAAGAAAAAAAAATATAATTCGAGAGAAAAGTCTGGTTTTAAGTGGTGTGTTCGCAGAAAAATATTTAGTGAACCATGTTCGAAAAGGTAAAAACATAAAGTTGAGAAATTGACTAAGTGGGTTTATGGGAACCCCTTAGTGACTTATAATATGTAAAGTAAGATGTAAAAATAGTTAAAATAAGTATTCCGCAAGAGTTTACAGTTACGGTCACAGCTTTTAATTATTACGCTTTTTATTGTTTTAAATGCTCGCGTAATAATCGGAAAAAGTTTATTTGCATTTTTATAAATGAACTGCTATGATTGTAACTGCGCTTAATATCATAAATAAATGTTAACAATACCGGTGTACAACGGGCTGTTACACCGACACTTCCCGACACTCCAACACGCGTTATTGAAATTCAAAAAACGATTCAAAGGTTAAATTGCGTTGAGTTTTTAGTTCCAGTTGTTAGATTCGTTAGATTACGATTACCATTTTATTGAGTTTAATATAAATATTTGGAATATCTTATGTTTCTTTGCAAAATTTATGAATATTATAAGTTTAGATACATTTTTTTGTTAAATTATTGAATATTAAAGATAATATATACTACATAAATTAAATATATTATTTAATACCAAAACGTGTCCTAACGTGTCAAAATTTAACATTTTTTAGAATTAACGTGTCGGAGTGTCGTGTCGTATCGTGTCACGTGTCTCGTGTCAGTGTCGTTGCTACATAGCGTTTCAATATGCAGATATAATATATATGCCTTTGTTTATGGCACATATCGTCGATTTTTAACTATTATTGCGGCATAGCTTTTACTTTATTTCCTTTTCAATCTATTTATATTTGGAAAGATTAATTTTTCCTAATTATGGATTTTTAATATAATAAAAGCTGTTTTGAGAATGCTGCGAATATTTGAGAAGAACAGATAAAATTGATTATAATCAAAGAATTATTATGTATTAAAAAAGAATAATTTATGCTGAAAATTTGGTAGTTTTGAAAAAAAAATTAAGCATTTTTTTTTATAAATAAAAGGCCTAAGCCCAAACAAACAAAAGGGAAATCAGACAGAAAGAACACATAAGGACTACAAACCACCTCACGTGGTCTACAAACAGAAGCTAAATTTGCAAGCAACGAAAAATAAACACCAGGAGGATGATCCCACCAAACTCTTTTATCAGGCTGCTCTTGATCATCAAGTAAAAAATTGGTCAACCAATTAGCAACAGTATTGCCTTCTCGAAATGTATGACGAAAAGAAACTGTCCAATCTTTCTGAATTCAAATCCGTATGCGAGATATCAGATGACACTCGCGGATTGCTATACCATTCATGGATAGCAGAGTGATTACACTAGAAGAATCACTTTCAATCATCACATTGTGATAGCCTAAGCTCCAAGTCATCTCCAAACCCCTAAGCACCCCCCATAATTCAGCTCTGAAAGCATTACAAATACCTAATCGATAAGCATAACCACGCAACCATCTCCCATTGGCATCCCTCATCACACCACCACAAGCAGCAGAACCAGGATTACCACGAGCAGCACCATCATAATTGATTTTAATCATACCATAATCAGGAAACTGCCATGAAATGTCCAAAACCATAGTTCTTTTTTTCACATATCAATTTGATTGAGTAGAGCAAGCATGCTGAATATCATCAACAATATTTCTAATAAATCTTACTCTATCAATAACCGAAGGCATTGTAGAGCCATGACAAACTTCATTTCTCCACACCCAAAATTTCCAACAAGGTACAAAAAAGACGGACAACCGATTCAGCATAGTACTATCTGTAGACTGCAAATTATAATTAAAATGAAGCCAAGAGTCAAGATCTCCAAGAAAAAAACTATCACCATGCTCAGGTGGCACCAGGCACACCCAAACTGAATAGACATGCGAGCAATCCCTTAGGGAATGAAAGACAGTCTCTTTCTCTAATCCACAAATCAGACACAAATCATCACCATTACCCCAAAGAGCAGTTCGAGCCTTAGTTAGAAGCCTCCCATGCATAATCTTCCACATAAAAATTTTGACCATTTGTGGACCAAACCACTGCCACAGATAGGACCAATTATGCCTAGTATTACCAACTGAACTAACCTGATCCAAAAGATAAGAATAAACAGCTTTGACAGATACACTACCCTTACCATCCAAATGCCACAAACACCTATCAGGACCATCAGCATCACTAGGAGGAAGAGTACCAAGCAAAGCATTGAGAATATTACTAGGGAACCATTGATTTAACTGCAACCAGTCCCACTCCCCATCTGCTGTAACCATATCTGCAACTTTAACATCAGACCACACAATATAGTCTCTCCTGAGAACACAATCAAGTAAAGATTGATTGGGAAAAATTCAATTATCCTCCCAGAAATTAATACTTCTACCATCACCTAATTCCCAAGCTAAAATACTCTTCATACTCTTCCAAACACGGCAAATATTTTTCCAGAAAACTAAATCACCATTGGAGACTTTAAAAGAACCAATTCTTCTAGAATTAGCTACATATTTAGCCCGCAAAACTTGAATCCACAGCTGGTCAGGATCTGTCATAAAAAGCCAAGCCTTCTTAGCAAGAAAAGCATTATTCATCCGCTTCACGCCCAAACCACCAACCTGTTTAGGCAATGTAATTGTATCACAGCTAATAAGATGGTTTTTCCTAACATGATCCATATCCCCCCAAATAAAATTCCTCTGAAGTTGCTCTAGCCTCATACAAATTGAAGAAGGAATTTTGGTGCTTTGCATTTGAAAATAAGGGATAACAGCCAAAACTGAACTTGACAATGTAATTCTGCTAGCTTGAGACAAGCTTTTCTGATTCCAGCCATTAAGCTTACCTCTAACCTTTTCCATAATCCCATCAAAAATATCCTTAGAGGCCCTACCATGTCTCATCATTGACCAAGATACATTTTAATTATAATTATTATGATTATAATCAGAACTATAGATTTTTATCAAAAATTTTAGTTATTTATTATTTAAAAACAAAGTTTTTACATAAAATAAATAAAATAAAATATTTAAAGTCATTCTTAAATAACATATCTAAATATGAAACTGATTTTAGCATAATTAATTATCAATGTCAAAAACTAATTCAGTTCAAAAATTTAAATTATTAGGTAAAGGCCATATTAACAATCTTATATTATATCTCTTAAACAATCAAAAATTATTTTTCACCTGTAAATTCCAAACACGCCCCTGATCTAAAAATGGCGAGGTGGTGCTATAGCCCCCGAGACCTTCTTATCTCGTATTCACTAGTATATTACCCGTGCGATGCACAGGGAAAAAAGATCAAAAATTTTGTCGTCCGCCGTGGTTGGTTAATCGCACTGCAAACCTTATATTTACAGAAAAACTGTGTCGTTATTTTGTTCTATATTTCAGGTGAAAAAAATTACAGCATTGATACAGAGCTTTGCAAATATCAATCACAAACAAAAATCTGTTATTCAGAGGGATAATTAATTTTGCATACAACTACATCATAATACGTTATAATACACCATGTTAACATGAGAAAGTGATATAAAAAGAAAAATGCGTACAAATCATTGCTAACTATAGCATTCATCAACAAAATCAAGGTAACAATAACACCAAGCAAATATGGATTTAAAATATCAGCTTTTACCTATAATATGAAAACGCTATTCATTCAGTGTCATTTCTTAGCAATCATTGGAGGGATGAGTTCAACACTTACTAAATATGTCATTTCTTGTGTGATTTTTGTTCCATGTGCCTACGATACAGAAGGCAAAAACTAATTAAATAAGTAACACTAATATGTTAACATCCAAAAGTCATAGTATTAGCAAAAAAAAAAGATTGGATTAAATTTTTTTAAGGACCAAACAAAATGTTGTCTGAACGGGATTTGAATAAGTAACACTAATATGTTTTTAAGAAGATAGCATGACAAAGATCAACAAACACTTTCCTCAATCCTGGCAGTTTGCAGAAGAAGAACCTTCCATTAAAATATGAAACGAATCGGAGAAAGCCAAAGAAAACAAAAAATAATACCAACACAACAACCCCTACAAACAGAAATGAAGAAAGAAATCGTAGGCAAGCTAAGAAAAAATAAGAAACACAACTTCTCTATTTATACAAAATGAATGCCACCCAAAACTCTCCAAATCTTTTCCCACCATCCATATTTTAAATTCAAAATTTGAAACCATTTCAAAATTCGAATTTTAAATCAGAAGAGCAATTTCAATGTAAAAAGCAATTAAAACATGAGTCATTCCATTTCAAAATTCGAATTTTTAGATCAATGAGCAATTAAAACAGCTAAGTCATTCCATTTCAAAATTCGAATTTTAGATCAGATGAGTCATTCCAATTAAATGAGCAATCAAAATTCGAATTTCAAAATTCCAATGTAAAAAGCAATTAAATCAGCTGACCAATTCCAATGTGAACAGCAGTGGGACATTTAATGCCTTGTCTGCCACCGCAAATGGTCATTTATTTTTTGATTTAAAAAAAAATCGATTTTTAAAAGAAATTTTTTTTCCAATTTATCCAAAAAAGAAAGTTTGTATATGTCATGTAGTGTGAATACAATTTGTAGAATTAACCAGGGAGTGACACTTGACAAAACTTCTAACATTGAACTCTCCTTTATATATATATATATATATATATATATATATATGCTCGTTTCTAAGAATAAAGGGAGTAAAATAAGAATTCTTGTTTGAAGAATTCAAGTTTTTTTTTCTTTTCTTTTTTTCTTTTGACCTTTGCTGTTTCCATAATAATTATCCAACTCAGTATAACCCCTCAAAATTCCGGTGGGTGCTAAGGACTTGCCACTTGTTTGAGGACAACAATGGGCTTGGAACTAATAAATTATGGCAAAATGTCCCCCCCTCATGCATTTATTATGTATATCTCTCACATGTGTTTAGGTGATAAAAATAGAGAACAAATATTTAAAAAATGAGATAGGGTCAATTATAATTAAATAATAAAATTTGTATAAATATAATATAAAGCGTGCATCGTTATACGTGTGGAGCCTAAGGTTACAATTAAACATATTAATATATTTTGACTCAGTTATATATAGTAATAACGTTTTCAGGATGTTGCTTCATACTTAAAAAATCCGTTTGAAGCTTTCATTGGCGATTGCATCAGGTCGTTGCTTAAACGCTTCCGTTTGTTTTATATTTTTTTAAAGCAAAATCAGTACTTTTTTTAAGAGTTTATTCGGTATGCACCGTTAAAGTTTTATATTAATATATCTTGATACAATTATTTTTTATAGTTATAATAAAGACGCTAAATAATGATATGTTAAACTATTAATAAATGTTAATATAAAAAATTTACGTACATTGATAATGGATACTAATTAATTTTTATTATTTTTTGAATGCCCAGTGAATGAGATGAAGTTCTATACTAATTATCTAAGACATGACTTTAGAAACAACGACCAAAATGCCACACCATTTTCAAAAAATTATCTGAATGACACGGATTGAATTTTTTCTTTTTCAAAATGTCACGTCCCTAATTTGCTACAACACCTGATGAGTTAGGTGTGGATACATGAAAGTAGGTTCATGGTCTCGTAAGTCGCTGCACAATATAATGAGATTAAGTAGCCGACAACAAGTCAAACTCCTATGTTGCATAGCATTGACGTGTTATGTGTCTGACACGTGTAAAACTCGTACGCAATGGCGAACTTATATGTGTACAAGTGCACGCACAAATTTTTTGAGAAAAAATATATATATTATATTGGGTTTTTAACAATAATTACGAGACCCAATTTAATCCCTTAAAAAAAGTTATCTCGTGATCTTTTTAAATTTCAAAATAGATCCATGTTAGTCCTTTTGAGGGATTAATGTGGATCTTTTTAAATTTCAGAGGGATCACAATTTTGATTATTTGCGTCTATTTTTGAATTATGAGGAACTACGAGTCGACTTTTTTTTCCTGAGGAATTAAATTGGGGCTCGTAATTTTTGTTGAAGATCCAAAATATTTTATTGTAACAGTTTAGTTGATTCTTGATTACTTTTATTTTATGTTAAATTAAAATTTTCTTTTCTTTTTCTGTTTATATTCTTTTGCATTTTAATATATTTAAAAAAATTCTTTATTTTTTATTTTAAATATGCATACATAAATACAATTTTCTAGGTCCGCTATTGCTCGTACGTGTCAGTTTTTCTGAGACGTGGCTATACATGCTATGCTGCTAGCATATTATGTGTAAGTAGCCCAACAGTCTAGTGTTTTTAGTCTAATAAATTCACCACTCCTAAAAATAATTAATTAAAAATTCTAAAATAATTTAAATTAATAGAAGTAAATTAAATTAAATTAATTAACAGACATATATTAAATTTAATTCATTAACACTCCTAATTTAAATTAAATTAAATTACGTAACAGTTCAAAACAATTCTAACTTAACATAAATTAAATTAAATGAAATTAATTAACGCTCTTAAAAATAATTAATTAATAGTTCTAAAATAATTTAAATTAATATAAACTAAATTAATTATCAGACATAAATTAAATTAAATTCATTAATACTCCTAAACTTATTTAAATTACTTAATAGTTCAAAAAAAATTTAACTTAACATAAACTATATTAATTCCTGCTCCGGCCTTTCATAGGATGACTATAATCACGATAAAGTGTGTTTAATAAGATTTAAATCCCTGGAGTGTTTATTAAAGCCATCACACACAAGTCACGGGGACAACGACCAAAATACCCTTATTCACAAAAAAATTATTGTATTTTCACGAGCCGCACCTTAAAGCTTTGTCCATGTATTTATGAATATAAAATGGTAACGGTGAATTGTACTAAAAAAAAAAAATGGTAACGGTGAAGGCTTGCTCTGATTTATTTATTTATTTATTACTATTCTCATTTTTAACAAAATTGAAAAAAAAGAATACAAGTCAAAACATGTGCTTGACTAGGAGATATAGAAAGCAATTATTACGATTGATAGATTGTGCCTGTTAGGTTTGATAATAATGGTTTTCATTTGTGCAACATGATCGAAATTTGACTTTCTATTTAATATTACTACCCTTATTAAGGCAAAATTGATGACCCGTTCATCGTTAACAACTAATTTTGAATTGGTTTTTCACGGAAACATAATATACCAGTTTCTTTATAGCCTTCATTCTGGGCCGCAATATCATTATCAATCAAACAAGATTTTTTTTTTTGTATATAAGCCATTCAGAAAACGAGATTTACTTTAAATCTATGCGTCACTTCGGTGATGCTCTATGGTCACTTTTCCCATTACATTGTTGAACATTAGCCTATCTTTATATACACACTCAAGAGGATCCATAAGAGACACAAAAACAAAGAACACTTGACGTTAAAAAAAATAAAAATAAAAATAAAAATTCACTTACCTTTATAACAAATTTATGATCCAAGTATCAAATTCAACTTCTTTTTTTTTTTTTGCTTATTGGGATTGTTTGGAATACGGATACAAATGAAGCAACCCATTTCAGAAAAAGGATTCAAAATATTTCCAGTACTGTGCCCCAAGGACCCTAGCTATCTATTACCCCAGTGGAATTTGTGCAAGAACTGCTAGCACTTGAATCAGAATCGTGATTATTCAAATCATGCTTAGAAGAAAACTCCATCTGCAAGGAAGCTGCAGCAACAACATCAGGTGGAAAATTAAGCAAAGCCTTGGAACCCCTCATCTTGAAAGCTGCTCTGTCATATGCCATGGCAGCCTCTTCAGCTGTTTGAAAGGTGCCAAGCCATATCCTTGCTCCATGCCGTGCCGAGTCACGAATCTCCGCCGCGTACTTCCCCCATGGGCGGCGCCTCACCCCTCTGTAGTGCTTCTTTGCTATGCTCCTCGTGGCTTCTAGGCCGTGCTGCTGGCCACCGAGGGTTTGGTGCCTCTGAGGCATAAAAGGGTTGCTCATAGCATTAGCCTCGTTCAGAACTTGGTATATCACCATGTCCTGTGAGTCATTCTCATTTAAGGGTAACTCTGTTTGGGTTTGGGAGAATAAAACCATGGCTTCAATCTTTCTTCTTCTTTTTTCTTGCTTCCCCTGTTTTCGTGTCAGGGTCTCTCTCTCTCTCTCTCTGTTTTGGTGGCGTGTTGGTTTTGAAGATATGGGAAGGTTATATTAAATGGTTAACCGATTCGTATATATCTATGGAAATTGGAATGAATGGGCAAATGTGGGGTCCGAGAATATTTTGTGGCAGAGAGAAGGGTTTGTGGAACACTAACAAGAGTGGAATAACTTTCCTCTTTGCTGGTTGGTGGGCTAGGTTTATAGTTGTCATGAGTTTTCATTAATATTTACAACATTGCACTTCATGTAGTTTATTATATATAAATAAGTTTTTTTCTTTTTTCTTTCTGGTTTTGCTTAAAATGAATCACGCTAGACTAATATTGCATACATTCATAGTGATTACAACTTGCTTCCAATAATTCAATTGGAGACAAATTGTTATTATTATTATTATTATTTTTTCTTCATAATGTCATGTGCTAAAGAGTGCTCCACATATATGATCGTTGTTTATTTCCACTTTCTCTTCACGAAGAATGTGAAATAAAATTGAACACCTGCATGATCGATGCTACACTCAAGTAGGATGAAAATGACTGCAAACATGTTGATGCCCACGTGATTGTGGAATTCCAAAATTTAAATGATACGTCATCTATAAAGTTCTACCGTGAGTTTTGTTTCCATAAAAATTGGCTCAAAATCTTTTGGAAGCCAATGACAAAGTAACACAACCTTGTGCATAGGATTAATCTCGAATTCTCTAAATTGAATGAATATTATACATGGGGTGATGTGCCTATAACTTTTTCAGTTGTCAGGGTTTAGGCGTGCCACCTGAGTTGGAATTTGGAAATTGTAGAAAGAAAATGAGATGAACGAACATGACAGAAATGGACAACGGTGACAGAGACAAAATAATACCTATAACCCGAAGAATGTTTTCCATGGGCAAAGAGTGAAATACAGCTATTAGTATGACAATTACACACTGACAAACATGGCTTTAAGCTATTAAAAGTAGGTACATGCTAATGGATTTCAATAATTTGTGACAAATATAGAATTCGGATATCTCTATGCCATTATTGATTATTCTACCGAAAATCAATAGGAATCAATAGCTCTATTTAAGCTTAATTGAGTTAGTTAGTTTTATTTCATGGAATTTAAATTACAATATATGCTAGTGTGTAGTTGTATTGTATAAGTAGGATTATTATTTAAAACGTTATAAATAATGATGAAATGTACATTGTTTCTCTTATGGGGGTACCAAATGGGAAAAAAATCTAATATGTTTCAGACTGACTAGCATAAAAGGAATTTGACTAGTAAGCGATTTTGAATGAAATGCCGTGGAAAGAATTTTATATTGGAAACATATCACGTCCATGTCTTTTTCAGGGACATTGACCAATGTGCCACGCTTTGGCAAATAAATTACCAGAATGTCATGCGAACAGTAAAATTTTTCAAACTGCCACGCGTGATAATTCGCTACACAGTGTAGCGAAATATGTTTGCAAATAATTCGCTACACTTTGTAGCAAATTATGCCAGGTCAGATTGCCCCGTCAGCAAAAATGCCACGTGTCAACCCTGGAGTAATTCGCTGGGGTATGTAACGAATTAAGTTGACCAGGAGTCAGTCATGGCAGTCTCTTGTCAGACACGTGTCACAACTCCCATAATTCGCTATACCTTGCAGCGAATTACATGTCAGATTGCCAATCCTGTCCAGTCATTGTCGGGACATGTGTCAATACCCCCAAAATTCGTTGTACTTCCTAGCGAATTATGTACTTATTTTGCCATGAATCATAGCAAATTAGGAACCGCTCTGACTGATAATGGACAGATGTCAGCCCCCTAGTAATTCGCTAGGGGGCATAGCGAATTATGTTGCATAAAGTGGTACCCATGTAGCGAACTTTGTTACTATAAATCAGCTCAATTCAATTTCAGGATCCTATTCTGAGTGCGAAAATTTGCCATTATATACAAACATTACTACTTTTGTGTTATCTTTTGTGAATGTTAGTTTCTTTTCTACTCTTGTAAGATGAGTGAGGGTAGGAATGATGTAATCGTCACAGTTTATTATAATGGGAGAAGATATTTTGGACAAAACGGGCAAGTTTTTGAAGGTGATGCAAAAATGTTTTGCATGAGCCCAACATGCAATCTTCACGAGCTTAAAAAGATAATCTACAAGAAGTTGAGATTACAACGTGGTCAAAATCTTGCTCGATTGACCGCTAGGTGTGCCTCTGGTAACCCCGTGCAATGGGTTGGCGTCGAAATTGTTGAAGATGACGATGTAACGTTAGTAGTAGATGCAAGCACTTCAGAACACGGCGAGTCGAGATTTATTGAATTTTATGCAGAAGTCAACTATGGTGGACAATCAAACAGTCAACTTTCTCCACCATCCACTGAAATCATCGACATAAACATGGTGCCAGTGGTTAATCCGGAAGATGAGGACGCGTCCCCCGCGCCTGCACCATAAACTCAACAATTGTTTGATGAAAGCTTGCCGGTCCACGACATGTATGATCCATCATGGCGTACCGATAGTTCCGAGGAAGAGGTTGATGAAGGTCTTGTTCCGGACAGTGAGTCGTCGGATATAGATGTCGATGGTGATTCATATAAACAAATTATATGATTTTGGGATTTTGGATATGTTATTGTACAGGAAATGATAATGTACCATTTTGGGATGGAATCAGCCATTTCACGAATGTTAATTAGGAATATCCAGATCAAGAATTGGAAGATATGCATGGAGCATAAATACCTAACTGGCAGATGGGCCACGAGCTATATAAGGACCAATTGTTCGACACCAAACATGATGTACAAATGGCAATTAAACAATATTGTATGGAAAATAATCGCACACCAATCGTAGAGAAAAATGATAAAAAAGGCTGATAATGGTTTGTCAAAATCATAACGCCGGTTGTCCATGGAGGATGAGAGCATACCAAAAAAAGGGTGGCAGTGAATGGGTTATAGGCATATGGAACAACGAACAACGAACAATTAAATACAATATTGAAACAACAAAAACTAAACAAACAAAAACACTAACCCAAATAACTACATTAACTACAACTAAACATTAAATAATAACTTAAATAAATTTTAAAACAAAAAAAAACTAAAGAAAAAATAAAACTAACCTTTAGAGAGAGAGAGACCACACTTAGAGAGAGAAGGAGTGAGGTTGGAGAGGTGGGGAAGGGGTGGGGGGCGGAGGGGATTTATAGAAAAAATTTGAAGCAAGTTCGCTATGGTGTGTAGCAAACTTGTGCATGATTGACACGTGTCCAGCATGCTGCTGTGCAACAGGTTTTCGTTAGGAGCAATTCGCTACATACCCCAGCGAATTACTCCAGGGTTGACACGTGGCATTCTTACTGACGGGACAATCTGACCTGGCATAATTCGCTACACAGTGTAGCGAATTATTTGCAAACGTAATTCGCTACACTGTGTAGCGAATTATCACGCGTGGCAGTTTGGAAAATTTTACTGTTCACGTGACATTCTGGTAATTTGTTTGACAAAGCGTGGCACATTGGTCACTGTCGCTCTTTTTCATCTGGCACACGGTATAATCACTGCGATGCATATTAATATCTCCATGCCTACGGTGAGTCATTGAGTCTGAACATAATTTTCTTTTTCCTTGAATCATTAACGCCAATTTCTAACTCCACTTACTTCTTAACCAATCTTGCCTATTTAACAATAACAAAATAAACAAAGAGAAAGATATACTTACCATCAAAAAAGTTTACAATCAACTTAATCACCGTTGATTTTCGTCAATCTAACGGTTATAATTTATTGAAAATTATTTGATTGTAATTATTAATAATTATTAATTTCCAATAAATTATAACCCTTAGATTGACGAAAATCAATGATGATTAAGTTAGTTGTAAAGGTTGTAAACTTTTTTGGTGATAAGTATATCATGTCCCATAAAAAAAAATATTAACAAAGATCAAATCTAAGCATTGGATATATATGGTCATTTTGTAGTGGCGAACCATGAATGTAGCGGCAGATTCAGAAAATATTATTTATGTCTGTATATTTAGTGGTGGAGGTTCGGGGAAAACACCCTCGAATTTTTTTTAAAGAAAATTTTAAATATATTAAAAAATAAAAGAATATAAACAAGAAAAGAAAAAAATTTCAACTTTTATTATATTGTCTTCTTTCAATATATTTTGTTTGATTGAAAAGATGAAAGATATAGAAGAAGAATCAAAATGGAGACTGAGAATTGACTGATAAAGTATAAACCAATCCCTTATTATTTTTTTTGTGCAGCCCCCACCACCACTAGTGTCCCTAACAAATGAGGTCTCACACATAACTTGTCCCTTGAATCGTAACTACAGATAAATTCTGAGAGTATGTAATATTTTAGCATCATCCTAAGCCCATACTTTTTTTAATTAAAACTATTTTAAAACTCTGCATTAGGTTCGATCTGCACATGATCCCATCTGGGTAATAACCTATTAAGCATTTTTTTATATATCTAATTTTTTTTTTCAAATTTTGAATATATAAAATTTACTACATTAATTTATGAAATAATAAACAAAAAAAAAAAACTATAAAATTTGGAGTGGGGGTAAGTTTGCAATTAGTGGGAAATCTGATGGCAAAGCGAGGGAGCATGACAGCTCAGCATCCGGCTGGCTCATTCCTACTTGGAAGGTGACGTCGTCAAGGTCGTCACCGTGGAAACTTTCTGGTGGGATGACGTAAGCGACTTGGAATATTTGGAAAAATTCCCTTATTATGACATCATCATAGGATGAGATGGGACGTTGAGTAAAGTTGGTGGGTCCCATAGTTACTAGAAGTCCTATACCAATCTTTGTTTTGACATTTCATCCCAATTTCTTTTATTTATTTTTGAATAAATATTTTTTTTTTATCTTCGTTAAATTTCACGATATCTGCTTTAATTTTTAGCAAATAAAAAAATTACTCGTGATTTTTAAGAAATTTAAAATTGACCAATTTAGTAGAAATTATGGTTTCTCACAAATTCA